TATTACATTCTTGGCTACTTTACACTAGTAGTTAGTTCTTTCACTAGTGGAGGGGGCATCATTGAATAAGTGTGGGTACTTTTGCTTCATTTGGTCCTCGCGTTCCCAGGTAAACTCTGGCCCTCTACGAGAGTTCCATCGGACTTTTACTATAGGTATGCGGTTTTGTTTAAGTCTTTTAATTTCCCGATCCATAATCTCCATTGGTTCCTCCATGAAGTGAAGCTTTGTGTTGACCTGAATTTCATCGAGTGGTACGATCAAATTTTCATCGGCTAGGCACTTTTTGAGATTAGACACGTGGAAGGTATCGTGAACCTTGTTAAGCTCTTGAGGTAGGTTGAGCTTATAAGCTACCAGACCAACTCTTGCTAGGATCTCAAAGGGTCCGATGTAACGTGGGTTTAGCTTTCCTCTTTTTCCGAATCTAATGACACCCTTCCATGGGGCAACTTTTAGTAGGACTCGGTCTCCTACTTTGAATTCCAATGGTTTGCGTCTGTTGTCAGCATAACTCTTCTGCCGACTACGTGCGGCTTTTAGCCGTTCTTTTATCTGAACAATCTTTTCTGTTGTCTCCTGAATGATTTCAGGTCCAGTGAATAGTGTATCTCTAATATGTTTTCCTGCTAGTTGGGTATCTCCAACCTCTGCCCAACATAATGGTGAACGACATTTGCGCCCATACAAGGCCTCGAATGGAGCGGCCTTTATACTACTGTGATAGCTGTTGTTGTAAGAGAACTCAACTAATGGCAAGTGAGTATCCCATGCGTTACCAAAGTCTATCACACAAGCGCGGAGCATATCTTCCAGAGTTTGTATTGTCCTTTCGCTCTGGCCATCCGTTTGGGGATGATATGCTGTACTCATGTCGAGTTTTGTGCCTAGGGATCTTTGCAATGATTGCCAAAATCTGGAAGTAAATCTACTATCTCGGTCCGAGATGATAGATATTGGCACACCGTGTAGTCTGACTATCTCCTTGAGATAAGTTCTGGTGAGTTTTTCCATCTTATCAGTTTCCTTGATGGCTAAGAAGTGAGCGGACTTGGTCAAACGGTCAACCACTACCCATATGGTATCGTAACCGCTTGATGTCTTGGGCAACTTTGTTATAAAGTCCATTGTTATTTGTTCCCACTTCCATTCTGGAATTGATGGTTGTTGTAGCAGGCCAGACGGCTTCTGGTACTCCGCCTTGACCTTGGAGCAGGTCAAACACTTACCAACATAAGTGGCAATTTCTGCCTTCATATTGGGCCACCAATAATGCTTCTTGAGATCGAGATACATCTTGTCTGATCCGGGATGTATTGAGTATCTTGACTTGTGAGCTTCATTTAAAACCAAATCTCTGACTTCTCCAAATCTTGGAGTCCAAATTCGGTTCATGAAGTATCGCGTCCATCATCTCTGAGGTCGAACTGTTTGTCCATGCCTCGTAGGTTTTCTTCCATGATGTTTTCAGGTTTAAGTGCTTCTAGCTGAGCATCACGAATTTGAATAGTAAGGTTCGAGTGGATGGTTAGGGTTAGAGCCTTTACACGAAGAGGTTTTGCTCGTTCCTTCCTGCTTAAGGCATCTGCCACAACGTTTGCTTTACCGGGATGATAACGAATCTCGCATTCATAATCATTTAGTAATTCGACCCATCTCCGTTGTCTCATATTGAGCTCTTTTTGATCAAAAATGTGTTGGAGGCTCTTGTGGTCTGTGAATACAATGCACTTTGTCCCGTATAGATAGTGTCTCCAAATCTTCAGAGCAAATATTACGGCTCCCAACTCTAAGTCATGGGTAGTGTAGTTTGTCTCATTTGGCTTTAGTTGTCGGGATGCATATGCAATAACCTTATTCCTCTGCATTAGTACACACCCTAACCCTTGACGTGAGGCATCACAGTATACTACAAAGTCTTCTGTTCCCTCGGGAAGAGACAAAATTGGTGCACTGCATAACAATTGCTTCAATTTTCGGAAGGCAGACTCTTGACTGTCTCCCCAGTTGAACTTTTTGTCTTTCTGGGTTAGTGCGGTGAGAGGCTTGGCTATTTTGGAGAAGTTCTCAATAAATCTCCGATAATAGCCTGCAAGCCCTAAGAACTGACGTACTTCGGTTGGTGTTGTTGGTGCTTTCCAATTCTTGACAGCTTCAATCTTCGCCGGATCGACATGAATCCCTTTATTGCTGACCACATGACCGAGGAAATGAACTTCGTTAATCCAGAACTCACACTTAGAAAACTTTGCATAAAGTTTTTCTTTTCTTAGTAGTTCTAGGATTAAACGCAAGTGCTGGCCATGTTCTTCCTTGGTTCGTGAGTATATTAATATGTCATCGATAAAGACAATCACAAATTTGTCCAAGTAGGGTTTACACACCCGATTCATAAGGTCCATGAATACGGCAGGTGCGTTGGTCAGTCCAAATGGCATCACTAGAAACTCATAGTGACCGTATCTAGTTCGGAATGCCGTCTTTGGAATATCCGCTTCTTGAACTCTAAGTTGATGATAGCCGGATCGTAGGTCGATCTTTGAGTAGTAGCAGGATCCTTGTAATTGGTCGAACAGGTCATCGATCCTCGGGAGTGGATACCGGTTTTTGATAGTGAGCTTATTCAACTCTCGATAATCGATGCACATCCTAAAAGAACCATCCTTCTTTTTGACAAACAATACCGGGGCTCCCCATGGAGAGAAGCTTGGCCGAATAAAGCCTTTGTCGAGAAGTTCTTGAAGTTGACTGGATAGTTCTTGCATTTCCGATGGAGCCAGGCGATAAGGAGACCGTGCCACTGGTGCTGCACCCGGGATAAGGTCGATTCGAAATTCAACCTGTCTGATAGGAGGTACTCCAGGTAGGTCTTCTGGAAATACGTCTGGGTAGTCACACACTTGTGGTATGTCTTTGATTTCCTTACCCTTGCCTTGCGTATCCACCACGTGGGCCAAGAAAGCGTAGCATCTCTTCTGCAAATACTTCCTTGCCTTCATGCAAGTAATGACTCGTAGGTTCTTCCCCGCCTTGTCTCCATAAATCACAAGGACTTCATCGTTTGGTAAGGGTAATCGTACAGCTTTTTCGTAACATAAAATCTCCGCTCGATGGGCTGATAACCAATCCATTCCGATGATTACATCGAAACTTCCAATGGTTATGGGCATTAAGTCGACAGGGAACACGTGATTATTCAGGGTGAGAAGGCAGTTGGTGAGTATTTCTAAGGTGCTTTCTATTTGACCATTGGCTACTTCTACCGTGTAAGCATTATTGAGTTTGCATGATTCATGATTAATCATTTTTCTAAATTTGTGGGAAATAAAACTCTTATCAGCACCAGTGTCAAATAATACAGAGGCATAAATATTGTTGATAGGAAACGTACCAGTAACCACAGTTGGTTCCTGGCGTGCGTCTCCCGCACCTATCACAAACGCCCTTCCTTGACCACCCTGTCTCTTCAGCTTAGGACAATCTTTCCTGAAATGTCCATGTTGGTTGCACTCGAAGCAGGTTCGACTTTCTCTTGCGGTAGTAGTTGAGACTGTGTTGCTTGGGTTCTTTTTGCAAAATTTGGTGGTATGACCGCTTAATTTGCAGTTGCTACATATCCTGCAGTCTCCAACATGATGATAATTGCACTTAGGGCAGCGAGGTAGAGTTCCAGCGTAGGGTTTTACTGGAGTGGGAGTGGTTGTGACTGCAGCATACACCGTTACAGGCTCTGGGTTTCGCTTACGGTGTTTGAAGTTCCCTTTTGGCTTTCCCTGGAACTTTCTCTTAGATTTCCCAGTTTGGTTCTTTTCTTTTGCAGGGGCCATGGTGCCTTGTCGGATACATTGTTCAGTCAACTCATAGGCCAGCTGCTTGGCACTATCAAAAGTTGAGGGTCTGGATGCAGTAACCAGACCTTGGACTGGCGATGCTAATCCCCAAATGTATCTCTCCGTCTTCTTGTCTTCTGAAGGTACCATTCCGGGACAAAGAGTTGCAAGGTCTTCGAATCGGGAGGTATAAGCAGCTACCTCTGATCCTTGCATGGTTAGGTTCCAGAGTTCTTGTTCTAATGCCTGAATCTCCTGCCGTGGGCAATACACTTTAGTCATCATTAGTTTCAGCTGTTCCCATCCCATGGCATAGGCTTCCGCAATTCCCACGGTCTTGGCATGGTTGTTCCACCAAGTTAAGGCAGCATCCATCAGTGTGCAGGTAGCGTACTTAACCCTGCAGTCATCCGGGCAAGAGCTGATGTGGAAGACAGCTTCAATCTTCTCTATCCATCGGGATAGGCCAACAGCTCCTTCAGTTCCGTAGAAGGATCGGGGTTTACAACCCATGAATTCTTTGTATGAGCAGTGTTTGGGATTTCTTTGGGCAACTACAGGAGTACCACTTCCGCTATTTCCAGTATTCCCGTTTCGAGCTGCCTCATAAGTCGCCAAGGCCGTAGCAATCCCTTGTGCAAGCATGTTCTGCATCATGGTGGGATCCATCTGGAAATTTTGGTGGTTATTTGTAGCACTTGGGGTTTCTTCAGGGTCTGGAGTTTCTTCTGTTGTTTGAGTTATCTCTGGAGCACTTCTCCTGTTAGTTCGGGGAGTCGGTGGTGGACGAACTCGTGGTTCTTTTCGTCGAGGCATTATCCTAATACGTTAGATAAGTAAGTTAATTTTTTTTTAAACCATATAGTTATAATGTGTGTGTATTTTGTATTTGTTCAATTTGTTTTTCTTGCGAAACCAGAAAATGAAAGCTTTTCCTGATATATAGAGTTTTGCAAGCAATACATAATAAATACAAACATTTAATAAAACACAGAAACATTGTCATCAGAACTGCTTGTTTTGGTTACAAAGTTTTAACCATATAAGGTTAGAAATAGAAAAGCTTTTCAAAAGAGCTATTACAAACCAGGCAGTGATAAACACTTGCAATACAAAAGCTATTCCTCAAAAGTCCTAACCTTATCCTAGGACACAAGTTGTCCTAGATATCTACCTCCCAAATCGAGTCATCACATAGAGGACAAAGTCCTCGAACTGGTCCAAGATGTAGCGTCGTTCCTGCGCAGAGATAACCAACTGATTTCGCTGCGCAGCAAGCTCGCTCTCCATGATCTGAATCCGGTAGTTCTGTGCTCTTACCTGAGCACTCAAGGCATTCACTGCATCATGATCAGCACCCGAGAGATGATATAATATCTGGATCGCATCAGAATTCTCCTTCTCCTCTTCCTCGAGTGTCTCAACTCGATGGTCGAGGGAAGTAGAGCCTGGACCTCTCACAAACTGCTCCAAGGATCTAATCCTATCCTCGGTCTGATCAATCTGAGTCATCAAGCGAGGTATCGGATCATCCTCAGGATTAAACCTGAGTGGTGCTCGTGAAGATTCACCAACCTCAAACCGTGGTGGTAGATCAGTAGCATCCCTCCTGCTAAGGAGGTCTGTGAGCCAAGATGGCTCACTGGTCGATTACGTTTCCCTAATAGACCACTAGTGGGTCGGGAAACCTGAGCAGCTGGGTCCAAGTGGTAAATAGGAGATATAGTAGTTCCTGGGGTCCTCATCATACAAGGGCCCTTGCCGCGCAGAAGGTACGGCTGGTAGTAGGGTCTCGGTGGTGAGTCTGGTGGGGTAAGGGGAGTAGGTTCCTCTTCGGAGAGGTCTCCCTCATCCTCTGCAGGACCATCATCATCAGTCTCTTGGGCATCCTGAAATATGCCCTCATTCTCGAGCTCCTCCTCATCGGGATCCTCCTCAGGATCCTCTTCGGGATCCTCCTCAGATCCTCTTCGGGATCCTCCTCTCAAGACCGTCATGGGGAAAGTACGGATCCCCCGCTAAGTGTAGTGGATGTGGATGCAAAGGAACTCCAAATGGCTCATCAGGATCCTCAAGTCGAAACCAGTCATCAGGGTTATCCGGTAGTCCAGCCATCTACATAGAAGGGTTTCAAGCGGTTGTTATAAATTTGTATAAGTTTTTTTTTTTTTTTTATTTTTTTTTATTTTTTTTATAAGAGTTTTAAGGTTGATAAAAGGATTCTAAGGTATTAAGCTTCAGCAACGAATCTGATGGATATTCTTCAACTTCTAAAACTCTCAACCGTTGTAGCTTGTCAAACTCCTTGCTCAAGGTTGGTTGTGCACCGGCCCGACCATAAATAACATAGGCGCGCGTTCCAGGTTTATTTGTGGTATGGCTTATGTACGATACTAACCTTTAATTGAGGCGTTTGACCTAAAGGGTTGAGTTGGTAGTTTTAGTTGAAGGATGTTTAGAATTTTTATTAAGTGTTCTCATCGTGGGTCAGGTATATATATCAACTCTTACATATTAAGGTTGGTGGGGTTTGTAGTATTATTAATCTTTGTTTTGTACTTCCCAACTACCATACCGTAAGTAGTCGGGAAGTAGTTTTATTATTGATAATACTTTTATAAGAAGCTAGTTGCTATAGTTGTATTCCTCTTTCGAGGATACGAGTTCTCTATAGCCAATTTAGCTCTGATACCAATCTGTCACACCCCCGGCCGAGGCGGCGGAACATGCCGGGCTGTGCGACTAAGTTCATGGATCACAGGTAAATTGAATATACAGCACAAGTACAACAATAAACAAAACAACATTTCATTACATGTTTATGTTTTCATACAAAGTTCTTACAGATAGTAATAAAATAATAATACGAGTTTGCCTTAACAGTTAGGCATAACAGTTCAAAAGTAGAAAATTAAAGTACTTGCGAGCCAAGTTTTCCATCGTCTGAGTGTGCCCGAAATTTCACTGATTTCCTGAGAATACATGTATTTTGAAAGTCAACACGAGGTTGGTGAGAGTCACAGGTTTTCTGCTAGCCGCAGTAATAATACTTTCAAAAGTCCAAGAGTATATATATATATTATATATATGTATATATTGTATAATGATAGTTGAAACAATGCTTGTCATGAGTCTTTAAAAGCTAAAAATTAATTTTATAAATAATTTTATGCTTTTGAAGAAAATGTGTTTGTAATAACTTCATGAAGGTTTAAACATATCCATTGTATAAGTAACCACCATACTTAAAAACATTTCTAAAAGCAACCAAACCTATGGTTGTAGTGAAAAAGTGAGAGAGATTCGTGTTAATGTTTTTAGTGAGTTCTATAATCGAGCTATAGACGAAAGGTACCCCTCCCTACGACGCTTCATTGGACATCGTAGTAACGATCGTAGACACATATCACCTGCTTCGATTGATCAGTCGATGGTTGTAGCTAGCAACCGCAGGTGGGGTTGTCAACCCTATATAGATCTATATATATGTAACTCGCTCCGAAGATTAACGATTATAGCAGTGTGGGGCAGGCTAAGTGATTAAACTCAGCTAATGAATAGTAGCGTCTCACTCAAAAACCATTAACGCAAAGTTTGTGAATAACTCTCAGCCCTAACTTAATTATAGATAAGTACGGGCATAATGAAACTCATAGTATAGTATTTGTAAAGTCGAGTATGGTTGATGTATTTATAAAGTATAAATTACTGCTTTTATAGAGATATGTATTTTAACATAACGATCTTGTATAAGTGTGTAAAGTCTTATGCATGATGGAAGTATTTATAACTTAAATTTGTAGCATGCATATCATATAAGACTTATATATTTGTATCATAAATAATATATAGCACATGTATTCTCCCCCAAGAAAATAAAATATTAAAAAGGGGCCGTAACTCTCACCTTATTGAGTGGTAAACGAGTAGTTCTGAAGACCAGAATGTATTGCCGTGAGGTCGTGATCTCCGGGATTAGTTCGATTTCCTAGAAATTCGATATATATTAATATTTGGACGTGATTAAGTATTATAACAATTTCTTGAATAATTCCCTAACTTTTGCCAATTTAAAATTTATAATTATTTTAAATAAATTTTAAAATTTAATTTATTATTTTTCCGCAAGTATTTAAATAACCAAAATTAATTTATTTGAAATCAACTTTAAAATTTCTAAAATATACGTATAAACATTTTTCATTTAATTTTTGTATATAAAGTTTGATTTGTTTTGAAATGATTTTTCCATCCTAAAGTAAGTTTTAAACATTCTTATCAAACTTTTATTGTTTAAATCTTACATTTGAAATAACTTTCAAGGGACTAAATTCAGGCAATTTAAAAGTATGGGGACTATATATATTTAATTTGCAATGATGTTTGAACTGTATACAAGCTTATAACAGGAGGCATATGCCTCCTGTTCTTCTTCCCCGACGTGATACGCAAACGAAAGAAAGAAAATAAATAAATAAATAAAAATCTTGCAGCGGTTATTATTATTATTATTATTATTATTATTATTATTATTATTATTATTATTATTATTATAGTTCTAGATACATGGAAGCTTATAACGAAATCAAGGGGGTGGAGATGGCTTACTAGTGACGAAATGGAGGCCAGAAGTGGTGGCGATCGGTGGTTATTGCTGCAACAGGAGGCTGACGGGGGTGGTGGTTCTGATACTGCTACCTCCGTTTTTCCTCATTTCTGTTGGATTTCGATGCAGGGGTATGGAAAAGCTTCCAGGGATCGAAGGAAATAACAAACTAAGCTTAGGGATGAAGCTTTTGGGTGGTGGTAGTGGGTGTTTGAGAGTGGCAGGGGATGTTCTTCCAGCTTTTATGGAGGAAGAGAGTGATAGAGAGAAGAGGGAAGAAGTTGATGATTTGTGTCGAATGAAGGCACTCATGCATTCCTTTTATAGTAAAAATCCATACACACAAACCAAATAAGCCATACCTCAACCCTTACCTTGTACTTTTGAGGATATGTGCAAGAAAGAAAAGATATGGCACGTGGGGGTGAGGTGAAGATAAAAGAGATCAGATTTTTTTTTTGTCTGTT